GATGTAGGTATGAGGTTATTTCTATGGTAGAACTATTATAAATCGTTCTACTCTAAACATGAGTTTAGACTATAATGTGATGAGTTTAATTCTTTGAGAAGATATCTACAATAGGAATACCTGTGTCAAGTGTTTAGTTTCTGTATTTAGTTTTTTGAAGACTCTCCATTCTGATTTCTGTAGGAGTTTATCTAGTTTACATTTCTACCAACAATGTAGAAGAGTTCCACTTTCCCTATAGCCTCACTAGTATTTGATATTCTATGACTTTTTGATGAAAGCCACTCTTTCTGAAAATGGTGGTGTCCCAGTGTGGTTTTAATTTGCAGGCTAATACAGTTTTAAGTTTATTTAAGTTTAAAATAGATTTGTTCTTCTTATAGGTGTTTAATAATTTTATAGCTTTTTAGGTCTTCAAGAGCTGACATTAGGGAAGTCAACAATGGCTGCCATAATGTCTCTCATTCTCTTTGAAATAGCTGTCCTTATCTTTATGTATGCTGAAATTGAACATAAGAGACTAGACTAATATCACTCTGAACAGTGAATTGATATTGATAGATTTTATATCATAATGCTACAGAATTAGCCCTGGGTATCTTAGTGTCTCCTTTTCTTCAGAATATCTGTTCATTACATCATGCATTATATAATCTGTTCCTGTAAACTGTTTAGAAATTCTCCCCATGTGTTAATCTCTACATGTATATCTACCATTTCTGTATTATAGGGCCAAACAGATCAAAACAAGACAACTAAACAAATTCCTGGAAAAACATGAAATAAAAAAGACATATAAAACCACAATATTAGGTGATATATATTAGTTACTATTCTTTCTCTTGTTATTTTCAATAGAATTGTCCACATCATCAGACATAATATAATTGAACATAGCATTACATAGCTATTTTAATAAAAATACAACTTTGGAGACATTGTAGGACTTCAGAAGCAGTTAGTAATCAAACCGGAATGGGTGTCTTATTACATCTTGTCATCTTCAGAGTAGTTGCCTCTACTCTTAGACTTGATATTATCAAGCATACCAAATATGAATAAAATCAGTCAAGGCAAAACAGCGGTCTAACAAACCAGCTTCAAATAAGATCAGTCATAGTAAGACAATGTAAGTAGTACAGGGCTTCAGTTTAAGTTAAAAGGAAATTAAGAATAGTTAGTGTGGTATAGCCTACTTTTTTTTTGCGATAGCTGTCTGTGCCCTCAAACCTAGTATCAGTAGACAGACTGGAACAAAATAAAATCAAACTAAGCAGAGTGATAAGACTACTGCGGCTTTTAAATTCTGATGCACTATTAACAATGTCCTCTGCCTTCCTTTTTTAGGCAGTTCATCACCTTTCCCTTTCTCAGGATGCTTTGTATATTTTGTGTCCCACTAGCTCCTTCAGTTTTAGTTTAGGGGTCAACCCATTATCTATCTGAGTGGTGATGAACCTTTTTATTCCTGAGCTTAATCCTGAGCTGTATTTGTTTACTTACTAAAGCCACCTGGTTTTCCTTCCTTCTAGCTGTGTAGTTCTACATTGCACAAAAGTGTCATGACTTTCCAACCTATCTGCAGCTGCTGGACGAGTTGTCCCTATTTCTCTCTAGTTCCCTGTCACATAGAGCATCATTTTCTCACCTTTACTTTCAGTTTATTAACTCTCTTTCAGGTTGAGTATATTCCCTATTCAGAGCGTCTTGATGGATCCTGCCTCCTAATCTACTCTGCCTGTGTTTCTTTTGGCTAATGTATCAAGGCTGTCTGTATTAGAGATTATAGCGCACCTTCTCTGCGTCATCTCTGCTGTTCTATTTTTTTGCTATTATTTGCCCACTTTTCTCCTTCATTCCACTGTCTGCCCCATTCACTGAGGCCTTTCTGCCACTGCTGCTGGAATCCTGGGATTTTTTCTCTCACTCTCTCTAGAGTGTCCTTCAGTATTTTTTGTAGGTTTGGACCCAATTTCTAGCACTCACAGAGACTTAATGCAGCTCTCCACCTTGGCTCCACTCCACGCTGTGCCGTGTCCTCCCCCCAACGGCCCAGGACTCACCAACTCCCGTTACCAGTGGCAGTGGCTTCAGTGGGCCCTTGAATCATCTGACTCCACGGCGTGCCCAGCACAGCACAGGACTGGTCCCAGTGAGCATGTCTGGCTCCAGCACTCCACCTGCATTTTCCCTTCCTCTTCCTATTTTTCTTTTCCTTCAGTTTCCTCCTGGGGTCGAAAGAATCCCTTTCCACTTGTCCGGCTCTCTCCATGTTGTCAAATTCCAGCGTGTGAGCTGTTTTTTCCAGAGAGGCTCTCTACCCAGCTACCTAGCAAGCTGCCATCTTCTGGCCTACAAGAACATATTTTCTTTTACGTTAATTTCTTTTTTGCATGTAGACTAAACTTAAAGCTTACCATTCCTGACTTCCTTGATCCCCTCCTCATTCCTGCTCAGGAGAAGGGATAACACTAATGGATTTGTGACGAGGCAAAGGGAACCTGAGTATGCATTCTGGGCTCTTCTTTTCATCTTTTTATTTTGGTACTGACTTGCTATAAATGAGATCTAACACTTTCTTTCTGTATTTTCATAAAGCTAGGCTCTAAATTTCTAGCTATAGTACAACCTAGAGAGTGTTTATTTCTTGTGGACACCACTTCCTATACATCTATGTATTTTCTCCAGTGTTACTCATTTCTAAAATTTGAAATGTAGATCTACAATCTGCTGTGCGTGTCAATCTTATTGTTTAATTACTACACAATATGAACTAGGAAATACAGTCAGTAGGAAATTTGAAAACAATATGTTTATTAAGACTTTCCTCAAATTCCCAATAGCACCCACATTTGCAGTCCAGCTGATACTGAGTGTTTCATATTGCTCAGGTCTTTGCTTTCACCTCTAAACTGTGTCTACTTTGAGGTATCACTTGCCAGGATTAAATAAAGTGCTTGACTGTTCTATTTTTCCCATATCAAAGCCACAGGCAAAACATCCACCCCACTAACACCAGAGAAATAGTTTTGAAATAGAAATTTTATAGCTTGGTATTTCTCCACAGCTTTTCCATTTATTCCAGACATGAAAATTTGTCTGACCTGCTTCTTTATGACTTAGAGCGCTGTCTACTCTCTAATTCTGAATCTCAAGAATCACCTGCATATGTTCTTTTCACACTATGAGATATCCTCATGACAAACTTCCATGGTATTCAAACTAAAACAAAAACAGTTCAGTATTTTTCTCTGCCACCTCACAGGTTTTCTATCTCTACTCAATAAAGACCTTGTAGCCTTTTTAATTTAGTCAGATAAGTTGGTTCTTAGTTAAGGCATCATTTTGCTTAAATGGTTTCTCTCTCCCTTCTGATATACTATTTTCTTCTGTGTTCTTTTCATACACTGTAAAATATTTCATTTGTATACTTATTTATTTTTTGACTCTGTAATACAATCTCTTTTCATCCATCTGTCCATTTATTCATCCACTTGCCAATAATTTGAAAACTTTGCTGTAGTTACAGGGTTGAAAGGATAGATGACACCGTGACTTTCATACAGTTACAGTTTCTGTCATAAACTTATATCCTTGTGATTGTGATAAAAAATGTGCTTGGCTAATGTGTTCACTAGTAGGTAAGTATTTCATGGCAAAGAAGACCTATTTGGTTTTATATTCAGGGCATCCAACATGTGCATGGCCTGAAGATGCTACAAAGGCATGCGGCATGCACATTAACCAACTTAATGTATAAACTAATCAGTCTCTATAGGTATCTTTCAACTTGCATGATTTCAAATTTGTAATCTTAGTTGCTCAGATATTATAAATAGAGACTTCTGGCTTGGATTGGTCCTGCAATCTTTTTTTATTTTAAAGAGCATAAAACCAAGAAAAATAAATCAGAATAAAACCAATCAAAATAAACCAGTATAAGTGACACAGGACTTTGCATAATCCCTTTTGTTGTTTTCAAAATAGCTGCAGATACCGTCTGCAGGCTTAGTAAAAATGGAATGGAACAGAATAGAATAGAAACAATAAAAAGAAAACAATGAGTGTGAAAAGGACTTCAAAACAAATCCGTAGTGAACCCAAAATGGCCACCATAATGTCTTGCTATCTTTTAAACAGCTGCTCATGCCATCAGATTTACATAATCAAACAAAACAAAAGAGAATAAAACTCAACACAACAGAACAATGAAAATTATGGTTTCCAGGTGGCATTTGCTTCCTGGTGAGACCCTGTTCTCTCCCTCCCTAGTCCTTGGCGCTTGGGTCTGGCTGTTCCCACTCTGGCAGCAGTCCACTCATGGCACTGGTTTCAAGGCAGGGGTCACCTCCTGATGAGGCCTGGGTTTCTCCTCCTGTAGTCCACAGATAACATTGACTCACACTGACTCACCGAGAGAGGCTTGGGTCTGGCTGTGCCCACTCCGCAGCAGCCAGTGCACGGTGCTGATTTGCAGGTGGGAATAACCTCCTTGTAAGGCTTGGTTCTCTCCCTCTGTAGTCTGGGAATGGCACTGACTTGCTGTCTTGTCATATCGAGTCTTCAATATACGACAAAAGATGGAGATATTAATTCATTAGAGTGGTGGAAGAACAAAGTATATTTACCTAGAGGAGTATGAGGTTACTCTGACCTTGATTTTACTTTCCAGTGCCAGCAGTTAGAACTCTCTGACTCCTCCTCGTCTTTCAAGACTTTTCTTTGGCCGTTCTATTTATTGAAGTACCCTGAATAGCTTTTCCTTTTGCATAATTTCTACCTGTACCTTCACCTACTTTTATATAGCGAAAAATATTGTTTTTTATCATTGATAAAACAAGACTACCAATTTAAATGCTCATACAAACATATTTAACAAACTGAAAATATCATTCAGTGTTACAATGTTGAAAGAAATTATATTTAGAAAGCTCCAATGTGTGACACTTTTAAAGAAATTGAAAGCCTGCTAAGTGATGCCTGTGTATTTTTTTATCCAGGTGATTTGCCAGTGAAGCTTCCAACTCCACCGGAAACTTCCATTCCTGTAACATCACCTCCACACAACTGCACAGATAATGAATTTGCCTGCAGATCTGATGGTCGCTGTGTTGAAAAATTTCAGAACTGTGATTTTAGATACGACTGCCCTGATAAGTCAGATGAATCATTATGTGGTAAGTGAATTTCTAAATTGTGAATTAACTGTAGTCATAAAGTACACAGAATACTAGTATAATTTCTAAGTAATGTCTAATGTCATAGAATTTTCAATGAGGCTTAGAGCAATCTCTCAAAGTAATAGTTATTTGGATAGAAATGATAGTAGAAAAATGAGCATGCATTTCCTTTCCGTCCGACAGAAATAAGTTTCTTTAACGTTTTGCATTCAATGATACTATAATTAATGACTGACTCTAAGACTGTTGTTTACTATCTCTTCTCTATCTAAAAAGTTTCCTTTTTATCTCTACTCCTTTTCACTATCAAATAGGAGGCATAAATTAAGTTAGATTAAGTGTCTAAAACTTTTACATTGTCAAAATTGTTATATAACAGTGGGTTTCATATCAAATATATAGAGTTCTTAAGAAACTGAGTTTTCATACAGATGAGACCTTCATCCCCTGTGTCCTGGTAAAACATGGTTTTCATTTATTTGTTTCTGCCAATGTATAACTTTTTCTAAGAAAATAAAAGTCTAACATTGAACCTGTGTTTAATAGTGAAGGTTAACAATTATATACAGATAATACAGGCAGTACAGTGAAACTCTTATTTGTCTTATATCAGCCTTGTTAAAAAATTCTAGGATTTAAGAAATCCAATAGTTCATCTTTACTCTTTTAATCCAGAAAAAATATGTATTATTGCATATAAATTTTAATATTTGTAAAAGTTTACAGAAAACCTGAAATTATATTAATGAATATAATTAGTAAATACTGAATTTTTTCTCAGCTCAATTTTGTCATTTAATGTCATTTATGATTAAATGAGATGTTTTAGTAAGTTATTTATATGATATGAATGAATGTTCTTACATTATTTTCAAGTCAGAATTTTGTTTTGAATATATAGTTTTGTATTGCATTATTGAGATTCAATTTGCTAATTTTATGTTCTTGATTCCTTTTTGTAAAATAAAACATGATAAATCTGCTTTAATTGACAGCTTTACATTTTCTAATTCTTTTTTAACCGAGACAGATTCTTAAGTGTGCAGCACATTGTTGTTGACAGTACAATGTCATACAGCAGATCTTTAAAGTTTGATTCTTGCATGACTTATAAAGTATGCTAATTTAATTTAAAAATACACAATTTTTATGTTTTAGTGCTATAAAGAATCGAATCCTGGGGGCTAGGGATTTAGCTCAGTGGCGTAAGCACCTGCCTTGCAAGCAGGCGGTTGTGAGTTCGATCCCCGGTACCGATAAAAAAAAAAAAAAAATAGAATCCTAATCCCAATAGAATCCTAAACATCCTCCCAAAATAAATATATATAATCACTATTAATATCAGAGATTATATAACACATCCAAATAATATGATTTTTTTTTTTTGTCTTTTTCCTTTTTATCGGTACCGGGGATCGTTCTCATGACTGCCTGCTTGCAAGGCAGGCACTTGTGCAGCTGAACTAAACCTCCAGTCCCCCAAATAATATGATTAAAATCACTTTTTCTTTGCAGTGTTTTCTTCTCAGAATTTATATTAACACTCACACTCAAATTTCAAATTGATAGAAGTTTATGACATCAGAGTTGATGACATCAAAAGTCGGAATGCACATCAGATTTTCTGTAGTAACTTATTGAATTGAAGTTTTTAACTTAAGAATGGAGGATTTTACATGCACAGATGGATGCATGCACATATTCACTCACTGAGAGAAGGGAACTTAGAAAGCATTTTCATATAAAATATCTGTATTTCAGAAATTGCTGGACTTATAATTTTCTGTAATATTAGGATACAGTCATTACAAAAATCAAAATAATTCAAAGAAACATGGTTAACATAGCTTATTATAAATCAGAATTATTTAAAATTAAGTAGTTTGAAATTAATAACTCTGTCAGAGACTGGTCTGAGGTTTAGCTCTGTAATATTAATGAACGATAAAGGAGAAATGGCTTGTCAGAGTTTAAAGATAATACAAAATGCTGTGTTAGGAGAGATTGGGATGCTTGGCCTACTGTTTCAGGGTCTGATAAACATCATACCTCTCTTGAGAGCTGATAATCAATACCTGCAATTATTCACACATTTCAGTTACATTAGGTTTTTTAATGGAACAAACCTGAAATATTGGGAAATGCTTGATTAATCATTTTAATAATGCTTAAAGTTAGATTGTAATTAAAAAAGTAAAAAATGCAAAAGAGATCAAAATCACCATTTAGTGACCTATTTATAGTGATTAGCTGATCTTTTGTTTGTTCTTCTCTATCCAAGTTATGGATGTTTGCACATTTGAAAACCAAAGCTTGTGTAAGTGGTATCATCCAGTTCCAGGAAAGTTACTTCAAGATTCAAACACATTCAACTGGTGCCTTGGTAATGGGATCAGTATACACCATGGGGAAGAAAACCACAGGCCCGCTGTAGATCATACAAAGTAAGTAATGGCATATTTTGAATGATTTCTTAGGAGATACTTATTAAGCAGCTCCCAAATTCCTGCCTCACCACCGCCTAGGTCTGTGCTGTTGTACAGATGAATGTCTAAGAATGTAAGGGCATGATGTATTTTTTATACAGTATTTTAAAAATCCATTTAAAAAGCAGTGAATGCTCTTGTGAAAGGCTTAGAAACCAGATAAAAGCATAAATAAATAAACAAAAATAAATTGTAATGTCACCAGTCTTTGAAAAGCACTGTTAGTATGCTTTAAAAATTATCTCTTTATCCTTCTCTTACTCCTAAATTCCTCTTGCTTCTTCTGAATCATCTTTTATCTCCTTGACTTTCTCTTTTCAAATTACCTTTCACCAATTTGTTCCCTTTCACTCTCTTTTTTCTCATAATATTTCTATTATACACATATGAACAGAAGTAAATGTGCAGATTTACATACACAAGTATATGAACAAATTTTATCACATCGCAGTAAACCATGCTATTAAAATTCATGTGCAATGTAACATGCATGTTAATGGACAGACTTTCTGTAATTTGATAATCTGTTTCCAGTGGTGGATTTTCTAGTCCATTTCCTTTTATCCAGTACTATATAATTGCTAGAAAAAATTATAGTGCCTGCTGTGTAAGAAACACTGTTTTCTACTGGAAGTATACCAGTTAGGTAAACAGATGATCATTGTTTGCATTAGGCACATGACAGTAAGCCAATAAACACAAAGCGTCAGAGGTTGGGATAGTTGCTACAAAGAAAAATGGAGGCAAGGAAGGTTTTAATGAGTGATAGGACGCTTCTTCGTGAATGTAGCCCAAATGGGAAGACTCTGCACTGGGGCTGAACAGGAAGACCAGTGTGGCCGGGCAGACTGAGCTAAAACAAACGAACTGTTAAATATAAAGATTTTCTTTGTTGTGTTGATTAATAATTCTTTTGCTTTAATTCAGTTTCACTTTTGAACATGCATGAATATTTTATAGCTTTGAAATCATTTTCTGTATTTGTGTATCAACTCGGTTACTTACTGATTTCAGTTTTACTTTGTGTATCACACTTTATAAATTAGTTTTTATCACAGTGATTACAAATACACAATCTTTAAAAAAGGCAATGGACAGTCATATAATGACAAATAGGTGTCATTTTGTTGAAACTTGAACAAATTTCCTGAAAATATCTTAGTATATCCTAAGATTGAATAACTATTTGTCTGTACTTTTCTAAGTTTCATTAGGGTCTAATCCAAGGTGATGGTTCATATTTGTAAAGTTGCATATCCATGGCTATATGTCTTCTTATTATGACATTATTTTCTTCTTACTATGAGAGAAATTGAATCTTTCCTCTCCGACCTCCTGTTAATCGCCACCCATCTTTCCAATGTATTCATGTTCAATTTCATGTAAATTTTTTAGCTTATTGGTATTCTTTTTACATTTCTCTTTAATATTTCTATTCTGCACATATGAACATAGATATGAGATGACTCATAATGTGTTTCAGCTTTTCTTTTCTTTAGATGTTTGATGTACTTAATATTTTTTCACAATATTAATTCACAACTTCCACCTTTCATGTACTTTTTCTGACTTCCGTTGCACTTGTTTTCTCATCCGTTATATGAAGTTTCATTGTTCATGTCTTCTGTACATTTGTATCCTGGTAAATATTTTAATTTGGGATTTTGATACTTCATTTTGTAGTGTATCATTTGTGTTTGTTATTGGTATGCTTTTGTTTTTCTATGGTGCAATAAGTATGTATGTCCTTCCCTTGGTATGTAGTCCACAATGTACTGGTAGGGTCCCACAAAATCTCATCCCCCCACCTTTCATTCGGACGATTTCATGAAAATCATGACTGATGGGGAAGGGGAGTCGTATCTTTAGCATCCATATCTTTAGTTTTCCTTTGGGCTGATTTTTTTCTGATTTTCTGTGCTGTTTTGTCACTGTGTTTTTACCAAAATGGTTTTAATTTTACATAGCTACCCAAAATATATCAAGTAGCAGATGGTAGAACCGCTTTATTATGAACACGTTTTGTTCATTGTTAAATAATCTTGAAATTTCCATATACAAGTTTTCCTTGGACTGGTTCTGACTCATCAAAACAAAGAGTAATTTCAGAGGTTTCTCTGCTTCATAAAAATAACCCACACCACATTTCATTAACCAACTATTAACAAAGAAAAAGCTACTTTTTCCCCTAGGAAGTTTTGGTATTTCGGAAAGTATACCATACATCTAAATTTGTGACTTAAAATACAATTCTATGCTCAGTTTTTCAAATTTTGCTTTTCTTATTTAGAACTGAAGCTTTGTTAATTTGGAAAATACTTTTCTCTCTGTGGTGTCTGGCTCAAGAATTTTATAGTGAGGTTTTAAAATCCATTGATTTTGCAAGAGCTTTCAAGACCATTTTTGAAAATCAAAAAGGATTTATGCCAGTTGTTTCTTTCTTTTCACATTCTCCCACCTCAGTTCTTCCTAAGGCAAAGATTACTTCTGGGTCTGTGTGGAAAAGATCATTTGTAAGCAAGTACAAGAGAAAAGACATTATTTTAGAATATTCTCCCAATTTTGCCACTTAAGGAAGCAATGAAAAGCCTAGAAAAGTTATGATCTTATAGGAATATGTGGGGAAAGTTTCACTGCATTGTTGAATTTTATGTGAATTCCTAAACAGTGTACATTTCATTGTGAAAATGACATGAAGCAAAGTAAATATTGTGACATTATATATTATATTATACAAATATTGTGTAGTACATTATACAAATATTGTGACATTATACTTTTCCAAGTGACATTATACTTTGTTAATCAACATTTTAGTGGACTATACTTTATACGTCTGAGGTGAGCTCTCTAACATAAAATTAGGATCGCATCTTATTTTTCCTTGTATTTTTGCAGGAGAATATCACCATTCAATACTGGTTCTTTCCATACATTTCTGTAAATTAGAAAAGAACCTTTTCTTTTAAGATTAGGCGTATACATCAGAAAACTGGGCAGTGGATTCTCTCCTTTTCCTACTCAGCAGGGACAACTGAGGGTGACTGGCATAATGTTTTCCTAAGATGGGAACTAAGATTTATAGAAATAAAGAATGTTCTTAACTATAATGTAATGAAGTAATAAAATGAAATACATTTGGTGGAACTATTGTCAGTTACAATTTATCTAAAAATTGACTTGGATAAATTTTGCATTTTTAAAGAATTATAGAAAAGTTGTTAGCATTTTGTGTAAAGAACCCTAATATAGTAAAAACAATAATGGCAAAACTCAGGAACAAAATGAGCCCAAATGCATTCATGTTCCAAGAACTGCTCTAAGGAAGTTGGCAACAGTACAAGTCCTCCTCAGATCAATTTTTAGAGAAAATGTCATATACTTATTTCATCCAGATATTTGTATTGCTTGTCATCTAAACCTTACAATTCATTCAAATGTAAATATGCTTAGAAGACTGTAGGTTTGGAGCTGTATGATTCTTCCCAGTTTTTGAGTTCATCTGACCTCAGAATGTTGTCCTCCAACCTACATAAGCAGTTGGCTAAACTGGCAATGTTGCTACCAAGTATGTATTGGTTCAAAGTCAGACTCATTAACTTTACATCATTTTTATCTCATAAGAAAAGTCTTTATTTGACTGAGATTATTTCGTTAGAACTGGAAGACCAAAGCTTTAAATTCCCAGCCCTCAAATCTATTTTTACTAAACGCCCATCATGTGTTAAATATGATATATTAGAAATATGAATTAATCTGCTTAGGCAAAATTAAGTTCTCTCCACTTCATTCATATACAATATGTGTAGAAGAATATCTATGCATATTCCACTCTAATGATTTTAAATTTGCTCATAGAAAACTTCAGAGGAATTTCTCAAAGTGTGACTCAAAGAGCATTGAAAGATTATATAACATACACAATATTTATTATTGCAGATTCTCACACATTTGGATCAAAATTTATGGGAGTAGAGTTGGTAATCTCTGTTCTTATTACCATTTCTAGATGATTCTAGAACCTAATCCTAAGGATTAGAAAGGCCTTGTTGGAAGCAAGTACCTTTCCCACCACTTAATTCAAATTTTGATGAGATTCGATTAATTTTTCTTTAAGTATAGAGAATAAATTTTATGAAGAATATGTTTTAAAAAGAACACATATTGCTCTAGGGTAATTGCATTTTAAGTAAAATCAAATTTGTGTATTATAAAGTATTATAATTGAGAAATAGTTTGGAAGAAAATACTTTACCATGAAGTAACCGATAAAGCATTGATTTCAGAGCATCTTTTAGTTTGACTTACTCATTGTATAATACAAAACATGTCTTTTCTAATATTTTGCCTATGTATTTTATTGAATTCTACTCAAATGGCAGTCTCTCCATTGTGTATTTGTATAGTTGTTATTATAATTTTTAATTTTTGCAAATGGGAATTGAACTCATGACCTTGCACTTGTCAAGGTGCTGTGCTGCTAAACCACATCCTCAGCCACTCTATTATATTGAAATCAAAACAAGTGTAACAATCTCATGGATTAGCTGGAAGTCATAGGTATGTTGAAATATTTTTGGTTTTAGGACTTGATTACTAATTGTTTAGAAACTGGTTATCATTCATCTCATTCAGTATTGCTAAGCAAATGAGAATACAATTTCTTATGCACATTGCTAACTTGAAAAATGTAGTAGCACTTAGATTTTTCTTAATCACATTGTACTTAAGACATTGATCATTGTTTTTCAGTTGAAAGTGAGTGGTATATCCACTGTTTCATATGCATCTACTCATACATTGCTATTTACCCCACACATTTTACATTATTATGTACGAAAAGTCCTACAAATAATGCAAAGTATGTTGGTGTCACATATTATACATATTATTATATATTTCCTCTTGCATTAAGAATAAACAAAAGCTTCAGTAAGTGGAACATAATGCTGTATTTT